TTTTCTTGGCCACATGTTCATTTTTAATCGTGTTGAAAAAACTTGTAATTTTTTGTCTGGTGGTGTTATCACCTCACGGTGACCTGCTATGATAACAAACCGGAATTTTCACAGTTGCACCTTAAAACAATGAACCAGTTACCCTGAGCACGATGAATCATCTTCGGAAGACAATGAGTGTTGGCCTGTTTTGTAAACAATTCTTTGTCTGGGATCATGCAGGGCGCACAGGAAATATATCAGGGCGCTGACAATTTAAACAGGGCGCCAATTTCAGATAACAGGGCGCGGCGCCCTGTAAAAACCCCTCGTGGAGAACCCTGAATTTGTAAATGTTGTTGTTTGGTTAGTTGAAACTTCTTAATTACTAATAGTGATAGTTACGGTATTCAGAGTTAAATTCATCAAAACCTAACTTTTTCAGTGTCTTCACTATAATAAACCCCATCATGCATTGCTGTATCCTATTCTGCTTTGGATGAAAGCTTAATGTAACTACATACAATGTATGTAACATAGAAATTTATTTTGTTACAAATTTAGAACAGTTATATTTTGGACATGTGTTCACATTGTTGATTTTACATTTGTAAAATTCAAGTTTACGCATATTTTGCCTATAGTATAGAAATACGCAAGAAAAATAAATCTAACGGAAACACTGATGTAATATTCAATGTTCAATCAGACACAGTGGCAACAATATATTTCACCAGTCCAGTGTCACACTGTATCATTTCAAGCAAATATCTTTGAGGGTAGCTTACACAAATTGAAGTAAAAGATTTTTGGCCACCATTTCCTGCCAAGGAATATTTGATCACATGTTTTGCAGATTGTTGGCCATGTGCATGTTATGCCATATTTGTGATACACTAGTTTTAAGTAAATAAATATTAATGATGTATGATCAAACAGACCAGAACCAAAAATTACGTGGCTGAAAATTATTACATTCCAAACTTCAAACACAAACTAGTAATAAGATCTATTTTCTTAAGTGCCCTGAAATTTTTGGGATTTTCAATGGCTTGTTTTCCAAAAAAAAGCTTTTCAGTGAAATCTGAATAAAATTGAAACAAATTTTATCGAAATAATATCATATAGCAAACAATTTTAACAAGACCACCATAGCAGCATATCATTAAGCTAAGTTATGTGTAATAGTGTGAGATTAATTATTAAAATAAGGATAAAAGTTGCTAATGTATTTTTTTTCATTCCTAAAAATCTAGTTTTAGAACATGTATACTACCTCATATGGATATAAAAAATAGTACCAGAACTGACAAAGGTCAGTTTTTGTCTTCCAAACAACAAGAAGCTTGCCTTCATGTAAATAACTACTAGTAGCTTTTTTTTACTGAATAGTGATTCATTGTTCACAGCGGATTGAATTGCCAATACAACAGCTAGTCTATTAATTAATCATTTGTATGTCAATATATTTATTTATATTTTGAAACATGTTTCTAATAAAATACATTACACTTATATTTTGCCTGCTATCAATTTTTGTGGTATGGTTACTATGGTGATTTAAAAGGACTTCACAGGAACAAAATTTCTAAATTCCTAAGTGATATGTTAACAGCTATAAAATTTCATAATTTTCACAGATATTTTCATGATAATTCGCCTCTCATGAAATAATAATCTTGAAACATGTTTATCAACTGCAAATATTATTTTATAATTTTAAAATGTATCTTACCAAAGTCATCATCGAATGTTTATTTTGTGGCTGTTTGTTTTTGAAATTATGGTTTCAAACTCAACAATTGGGGAACAATGAATAAAGCTTGCAAAATGCATTATTTTTAGCAAAAATTCAAGATTAGAAACTAATGCATTTGAAATTCATGAACAAATTTAGCTTATTTAATCTATTTTTAATAAACACAAATCAGATTCAACACACAACTAATATGTATGAAACTCATTGTTGTAGAGTAATACAATTCATACCTTACACTCTTAAATGCTCACACATGATATATAGTAGATGATATGTCTACTGTTAAGTAATTGTTCAATTGCGATCATGATATTGACCAGCTTAGTTTAAAGTGTTTTATTCATAAAATAATTAAACAGTGACTTGATGAATTTTTAAACAGCTATAGAAGTAATTTATCAACATTTGCAGAAGAATGAATCATTGAATATGCAAATTGCCCCCCCCCCTCCCCCTGGATAGGCAGGAAATTATATATGGAGAACATGCAATTCAGGACATCAAGTGATTTAGAGTGCAATCTTGTATGCTGTTACACTCAAAAAGAATTTTCATCCCTAAGACAGTGTTCTATATGTAGCAGACAGCTGATCTAACTTTTCATCTTAAAGACCACAAATAGGATGCAATGTAATAAGCTAAAAATGCACTCTTTTAAACCTGAACTATGTCTGGAATGTTTAAAAGACCTCTATTCAGAGGGAACATTTGTGGGTCACCGATTACTGAATATAACAAATGGTTATAAGCCAATGTAATTGATTTAACCTTGAGTGATATGTTACTTCATGGTTCTGGTTAATATCATCAATGGTTGGCACCTCAATATAACTTGTTCACTGGTTTAATCTAATTACAGTGATTTACGTTTAATTGCGTGTGAACTTCTTCATCACAGTATTCCCACGATAGGAAACTTATCTTGATAAATTTAAATTTAGCATGACCACCCAATTCTCGTTCCCTTAACAGTTCCAATGTTACAGCCAGTCATTCGTACACGACGTAAATGGATTTCCCCAATTGAAATGTCGTGTAGGGTGTACTAGTTTCGACAGCATATAGTATTTGTACGCAGTGTCGACTACCGCGCAAAGTTAAACCATAAATTGCAACTCACCTTTCTGGCTTCAATAATAGCTTCAGCCTTTGCACGTCCAACACCGATTAAACTCTCCAAATCTTCAGCAGAAGACACATTGATGTCGACTTTTCGACTGGACGTCATTGTTCGTCTTGCACTGCAATTCCCAAAATACAAACGACGGCAAGTCGTTAGGTTCGAACCGACTGTTTACAAGTTTAAACTTTTCAAAACAATCCAACACGATAATAGAGCCAGGTGACCCGACGACCTCCAAGTTGATAATTCATGTAATTGAGGTGAATTTGTCTGGCATCGCCGGGCTGAATGATGTCAGTGGAAGACTCGACTCGCGTAAGAAAGTGTAAACACAAGTCTCGCGTTCATCTGACTACACTAAAACTAGCGACACCGGGAGGTAAATGTTAGATGCAGAATAAGCTCAAGACCAACATCTATTTTGCAGGTTTAAAACTGCCACGATAGGAATTGATCGTTAATGGTTTAACAAAACTCTGCCACGAAAATAGCAGACTTACTGTCAATGGCACTGGGTCATCCGAACAGATTCCGCCATCTTGAGTACAGCTCACATGGTGTTAATGACGTCATACGGATACACCCGAACCATTTCCGAGAATGCCCGATATCAAATAAAGAATTCCCCGCTTTCAAGAAGTACATATTTCTATAAACTCTAGTTAATCGAATAAAAATATATTATATATAACAATATATCATCGAAATTCACTTTTCTAATCAAGAAGGATTTATAATAGACTATTTTAAAAACAAATTAACTGTTAGTACAGGGGATGTAGCTCAGTGGTAGAGCGCATGCTTTGCATGTATGAGGCCCCGGGTTCGAAACCCGGCATCTCCAGTCTTTTAACAAGAACAAAACTCAATTGTGAATAATTGAATATTTTTTTTCCTGATCCATGTGAAATCCTTAACAACGTGAGAGAAATCGAGAAAAAAATCCAAAAAACATTTTGGGGAAAATAGTACAGCAACTAATTAATGTCATTTTTGTTTAGCTTAGCAGCCGAAGAAGAGTAACACTAAGGAGTAACACTAAGATGAAACAATTACTACAATATTTTTTTTCTTGAAAGTGATGAGTATTTAATCTTGAATTGAAATTATGATGGTATTATCAACATAGTTATTATTTCCAGGTTGCTGCACTATTTCCCCAAATTTTACTTCTCGATTTCTTTGACGTTGAACATTTCAATACTGTAACATGAAAATGGTACACCAATACATTGTCCATTGCATCTATTTGATATGATTTTAAAACAAATTCTATTGAATTGCTCAGAAACATTAATTTAAAAAATATATAGTTACGGAATAACATATTCAGAGGGATTATTTTATTCAAATAAAATCATTAAATTATTTTATTTCACTGTCTATAAAAAGACAAATGGAATACAGACAAATACATCTAATCTTGCATACCATGGTGAATTTAGACATTTTATCTTTATTACTTTTTTGGGGAAATGTTATGAAACACTGGTGTCGCATACGACTCATTTATCACTTCCGTGTCACTGAGAATGTTCTAGAACCGTACTGTGTCTGGGTGGAATATTCTAGATTTTTTTTAGAAACTGGTTGAATAGGTAATAGAACACTGTAGAAGGCAATAGAAGGTAATGGAACATTCTAAAAATGTATAGTAAATTCCAGACTCATTATGTATGCTGATGTAATGGTATATTTATAGACAGTGGGGGTATATATAGGGGAGTTGTTCAGCACTGAGTTCAGATCGGAGATCTCGTTGAATTGTATTGGTGTTTAAGTATCTAGTTATTGGTAGTGGAGTTTTACCGCGTTATTGTACTTGATGTTTGCAGAGTATAATAATACCAGTACCAGTTGAAACCTCATCTGTTGGCTCCGTGTTCGTATGTCGTCATCGCCGCCAGAGAAGTCTTTCTGTTACTGTTGCCATTTTGGTATTTGAACCATCACACCTGTACTATACCAATTACGGTAATATTACGTTGCGTGTGACAACTGGTTTAAGAGATTAAGAGATTGCATACATTTCTAGTTTTCGAAAATGTCAGTTATTTATATTAGGAAACAACTCGTGATTTCAGAATTTGTGTTGGTAATGTAACAAATAATATTTTGGCATTGAAAAAAATAAAACATCACGTTATGCTATTTTATTATTAGATGTATAGTATCCGACAAGCAGTATAATCCGGGTATTTCAACACAATTTGCTAATGGATTCATCGAACCGCAAACTCAAAGAGACAAGCGAGGTAGGGGAGCATCCGTGAAATAACGTGATTTAGTGACTTGAAGTTCGAGGGTGATGCCTTTTGCTCTCGATCTATACGGTGTGTGATTCCAATCTATAAAGAACTGTATGCTCCGACTAATAGAGCTTTTAGTTACGATTTTTACGGTCATATTCGTTTTAATCATTAAGTTTGGTGTACGGGCGAACAACGCCTTGGGGGCCTAGACTGTTGCCAGTTTATTGCTTTATATGATAATTCTTTTTTTTTCGTCAGAATCAGAGATTTCACAAATTCATCCATAAGGGCATTGTCTAGGGGCGCCCTCTATCGACTCAATGATATTTCAATCTGTTTCCTGTATCACATACCTTACTCTACAAAGTTTTTTCATAATGTTGAATATATTTACAATTGGTGAATTTTATCATATTTATGTGTGAAGAGACACATATTAATCTTCGAAACTTACTTTACACATATAGACGAATCAGATAGTTTGTTATTTATCATCGGTATAAGCACAACCCGGGGTACTCCCATAGTTCATAGCGTACGCGTCGCTGTTTTACCCATCATTATCCCGTTCGAGTCAATCTTTTTGGCCCAAATTTTCAAAATTTTATGTCATTTTAGCAAAATTAATGTCATTTTTTGGCGTGAAAGCACAATCATTATAACATAGAGGAACTGCGGTATGCGATTTCTCATCAACATATTATGTATACATTTTGATGGGAATACCCATGCCACTGTATTCTGGTGAATTAATGAGTGCGACCTGCGACTAGAACGTATATACGTGGAAGTTACCAGCATATACCGCTGAGGGCAGCATATAAACACGACAAAGGCTACTACAAGTACCACACGGTCCCTCAGTCATACCCCATACCTTTCGTTCCATTGTTACTTCGTGTGGGCGATGACGACAACACCGAGACGAATGATCTGGGTAAATCTGTAAAATAGATTACTCTTTCTGTCTGGGCTCAAAATAAAGTAATCTATTCTCCACTTAAACTTTGAATATTCGAAAAAATGACAAACATAAAATGCGTTATCCTCGGGGGCGGACATCTGGGCGTTTTTCACCGCTTGGCAACCCTCGCGGCGAAAACAAAGGCCAAAAACTCGCAGAAAACGGTACTTTGGGATGCTTGTTGAGACCCCTCTGAACAGTGTAACAAGATTAGCCCTATGTGTGTAACATATGTAAATTTGGTTGTTCAGGATTACTTCAAAGTTGAGTTTGTGTCGTTTTCTCGAATTTTCACAGGCTCGACCGGCGTTCCACAGCAGCGCGCACAAAGCCCATAGAAATGCATGTACAGTGGTGCGCGTCTTAGCAACGTGGAACGTCTGTGACGTAGCTCCGCCCCCGAGGATAGGGGGATGGTTGTCACGCCCAACGTGTTTTTGGCAAGAATTCCTTAGGGCCCCTCACTCATAACTCTAATCCTAACCATACTCCTCCAGTGCTTCTACCCCATTCAAATTGTATAGCCTCCTCTTCGGGTCAGTTATAGTTATTTGGAGGGGCATATTTAATTACATTGGGGGACTGTATTGTTATGGTTAGGGTTCGGGTAGGGATGAGGGTGCTTTACATACCACACCACCTGGTGAACGCTAGAATTACCAATCACATTAGGTGGGATACCCACCTGTGAATTCATTTACATAATTAATAGATAGCAATTATATTCCATGCGAAATGAATAGGAAATGAATAGGATGGATGTTGACAGCCTCACTGGTGTGATTATATTTACGTCTCAAATGTATATTATTCATAGATGACACTACGAAGAGTTGAAAAGCAGGGATACTTTTTTTTTGGAATTTTTTTTATTACTCATAAACAAAAAAAATACAGAACTTAAGGAAAGCAGGGATACTTTACACTGAATAGTAAATGCGATATAGTAACCACATTTTAGAAAATTTAAATCAAACAGTGAATATATAATGTCCCAAATACAAAGCGGACTCAACCATTGTTTCCATTGGAAAAGTTGACCTGGCGTGTCGTACATTTGTTAACCTCTCATTATTCTGTGTGTTTTTTTCACTGAAATGCTACTCAACAATTTGGTTATTCTAGCATCCTATTCATACGTCTTTTTTAATCTGAAATACAAGCATCGTCCTCTACCGTTCTTTTTAATAAGATAAATCACATGATTCCTGTTTGCCAATGTTATCTTCATCTGAATACAAGATATAATTGTTTTAATTTGTGAAACCTATAAAGTTTGTGATAATAAATGGTTCAATATGTCAATCATTCAAAAACTGGTAGCTAGTATTAATTTTAAATGATACGGTATTAAAAGCCGTTTTGGAATTAAAGTGTATCTGAATAAACTTCTTCATTTTTTCTTTATTACTTTTATTTTTTAATTACATGTCAGCGTTGTTAAATGCTATAATTTTCACGAACTTTGAACATCGGCAATTCCGAAATATAAACATATTGGATTTCCAGTCACTGGAGAGTGTTTTAAAGTCGGAATTTCGGTGCCATACACTCTAAACTACATGTATAGTGAGCGCTATTCCAGACACCTTACACACCAGCAAACTCGAGAAATGGAATGATTATCTTAACTGATAAACGTTGGTGTGATGGGCATTTGTTTTACATCGCAAATGACCACAAACTCGTTGACCTATCGTAGTATTCTAATTAAATAATCCGCCGCGATAGGCAGGGGCATGCGATACGCATGACCTAGCGCGGTTTAACCTCGAGGTGGTAAAGGTATTCATAGTATCGCCTGGCAGTCACTTCAGTTACTAAAGAAAATGGCGTCCGAAACGAAAGGGAGAGTAATCGTACGAAGTGTTACCTTGCTGCTGTTTTTGCATGTATGTCAGGTAGCGTCTTACTACGAAACAGGTGAGTTCGAACGCCAACATTTTACGTTCTCTATATCTAAACCCCATGCCATGTTGGGAGTAGAGACCGACGAGTATTCCCCGGTGAACCAGACACACCCAAACAACCAGTGACTCGATAGTACAATTACATCGCTAGGACGGTCACAGAAACTGGTTGCTTACACTCTGTGCTTTGCCTCGTTAGGTTAATAGTGGAGTTTTCCGCGGATCTTCGCCATTGGAGTATAACCATGCCCTGACCTGTGATTATAGCATTCAGACTTAACCGTCCTTTAATAAGAATACAATATGTATATTTTTCGATGTTTGACCTAACCTAAATTTAGATCAAGGCCAACAACTAACACAATAACAATATGATTACATATTATAATTTCAGCATAGTATTTATATTCCGATTATATGCAATAACTGTTAACAACGCATTGCATAGATGTCCCAAATAAATAAGCATAGATTATTACATTCAAGGCGAACAAACTGTGAAATAGAAAGCGACTACGGAAACTACTATGCCGGCATTGAAGTAATATCCTAGCATTGCGCCTATAATTAGTATGCGATGTAGTGTTGACAAGGTATCATGGTGTACAAACTACCATGGCGCTGGGTTTGGGGTTAGGGTTATGGGATCACTGCTGTGAAGTCTCGTTTCACACACTTATTGCGTTGAACATTATAGTGACCCGACATGATACGTACCATATTGTGAAATTCATTGCAAACGAATGAATGAGTGCTTTACATCTGCGCATAAAAACGTGTCAGCTCATAATGTGTTTATATTACCCACCCCCTGCATTAATGTAACCTCACGAAACAATGTGTTTTTATTGCGCCAAATATGCACTTGAACAAGCGTGAAATTGGAGATTCCAATGAAATAATTTGAATTTTGCACAAAAAATAATAGAAATGCTATGCTAAAATAATAGAAAACAAACGCTAAATATTTCCAGCTATTTGCTTGCTATGAAAGTTTTATTTTGAACTACGCTTATTCTTGAAATGTTCGTATATTAACTGGTGCGCTCGGCTACCTTCTACGTTGCGATTTTCACAATTATTATAAAATTTGTACGTGAAACAACACGTATTCGTCCAATTTCGTAAACGTAAATAGTTGTATAAGGGGTCAGGTACTGGATAGCTTTCAGTAATTTGAGGGGTATTCATCCGATAACTAATCAGTCTTACTGGACATTTGAATGACGACAAGCGTTCTGAATGTGCAGAGTCTCTTTAGCAACATAATGGGCAGATCATAAAACACATACAGTAACACTAGACACATTGTATCACATATGGGACCATTCAAAGAATTAAGTCCACTTTCTTATTATTATGTGTCATGTACGATGCGAGTATTGATGAGAATATCGACAGGTCTTAACGTCTGCGTCTCGTTTCTTCTCGACAGTAAGCATGGGCAATGATTGGGACGGTGATTGCGGCACAAGGATAGTATATGGAGAAGAGCGTCATCAGGGTGGAGAGATCGAAGCGTTGCGTCACACGTCATGGGAATGCAAGGTCTCTATCGTCACGGACGTAAACCAGCTAATTCACCTGCGATTTGATAGGTTCCACGTGTATTCTGAAGACGACGACTGTCGCAAACATTATCTGAAGATATACGACGGAGACTTCACTGATACGTATGCCAGTCTACTAACCAGTGTAAATGGCCTGTGCACAACGGCTGATTCATATGGTTTGCCCTTACCAATATTGTCAACGGGGCGTGCAGTGACATTGGTTCTATATAGAGAACCAACTGAGCAGACTACAGACTTTAGGATTATATATTCTGCCGTGAAAAAACATGATGGTGAGATGAATAGTTTGCATCTTTTAATTGTTTTTGCTTTGAATTTCTCAAATCATTTTGAAAAGAATACGAGAAATGCCGCTTGTTTCATGTTTTCTCATATATACTATCTTTTCAATTAACCAGATATGAATTGTTTCTGGTGTGCAGTTAACACAAGCCTGTGCTACGACTCTACGTTGAAATGTGATCACATGGAGAATTGTGAAGACGGCTCAGACGAGACAAACTGCAATGGTAAGCTGATTGTGTGAGGGCGGTATATTAGTACAAAAACGAACACCTTTTGGGGACACTCCCATGCATTATGCGACCCAAAATATTCATGGTCCTGGACGATTTAAAAACATAAATGCAATGACAAATCAGGGATAATTGTTTAATTTGAATTCTTTTCATTAACTGCTTTACCGAGTCCAACATAGATCTTCGAAAATCATTTGTAAAGTCTTTGGTAAAAGCGACCTAGATAACGATATATATATATATGAAAAAAATGGCAAATTAAAACAAAAAATATACACGTAAAAATAAGAACAATAAAACATGGCAAAAGAATTGGCGCCTCTATCTACCTAAAATTTTAATCAGATTTAACTACTTTCGAAGCTTGTTTTACTATTTTGCATATTGTTCATTATACCATCTGACCCTTTAACATATACTGACATAAAACTGATATTGATGTATTCTCGTATTCAACTTAATTTAATTTAATATATATTTATAATAGATTAGCAATGTTGTCTTCATGTACTTTTACTGTGCTTCATTACAGAAGTAGTTATACCACCAGGCTCTGGTAAAAGTAAAGAAGGTCTCTCAACAACTGCCCTCGCCGTTGTTATTGTTGTCGTTATATGCATTGTGGTTATTGGTATTGTCATCGGTTTCTGTTGTTTCTTTGAACAAAAGAAGAAGAAAAAGAAGGCGGCAGAATCAAATGTTGCAGGGGAACCTAAAACTTATGCCGTTGAAGCAGAGAGTTTTCATACAAGTCACGACCCGGAGTATGCAAACTTACCTGAGCCGCCTGCCTACCAACCTGCCTACACACCACTAGGCAAGAAATACCAAAGACAACCTCTATCAAATGATTATGCTTCCAAATGGGACTCTGAGAAAGTTGGTTATCACAATCAGCATCCTTCCGTAGGTTGCGATGAACGACACGAAGAATACCCTAATCAGCATTTTTCACCAGATTACTTATCCCACCAGTATGAGCGGGAACCACAGTCTGGTTATCGACGGGAACCTAGAGTTTCATATGATGCCCAGAACGAGTATGTACAAGTCCCTGTAAGACCACAGTTGGTTTAGTATTTGAGGACAAGTGACAGAAGTATTTCCAATAACAAAGAAAAGTAACCATAAATAATAAAGTAAACTGAAAAACATTCCAAAACCATGAAGGAACAGCTACTTGACAAATCACTCAGCTCATCTACACGGTATCTCATTCACAGCTGTTGTAAAGTACATCTATTTTCCTACGCTGAGTCAGTCATAGATACCGAGACTTTCACCAATTCTTCTGGTTAGCAGCATTATTATTGAGGTTAAAACATACTTCAACATTCATAGATGATGAGAGTTACACCAGCTCTATCACACCTGGCTCATTTAAAGAGTCTGGAATGTATTCCAATTCTTCTACATGGAATATCGTTGAAGTTTGCAAATATATATATATCAGTATCTAACACATAAGAAGCAGATAGCTCTTCTGTAGGTTGGATGCCCAGCTGAATGATTCAAATTAACATACATATAAACCAGTGCATTATACGAGTGTAAATAACCTCTTCTACGCGGGAGCTCTTCAGTGGCGTACTCTTCTATATGATGTTTGATTCGGAGTTGACATACATATTTATATCAGTTTTTAATAAGTACATTTTATAAGCAGGAAGGTAAACAGTTTATGTGTCAGCTTATTGGCGATCTATTCTTTTGCAAGCTATTTTAATTGGATTGATGTACACATTTATACTAGTATTTAACAAATACATGCTGCGAGGAGTGTGGAGATGGTATACCGGTTCCCTATGTGACAACTCATTCAAGTTGACGTAAATAGTTCAGAGTTCAGTATTTTAATGGCACAACAGCTTTTCAACGTCTATCAGTGTTTACCAAGCATTTAAGAGCTCTGCGTTGGCAGCTTATTCAAGTTGTCTTACAGATTTATAACAAGTACATTTTAGAAGATGTTGCAGTCTTCTGCTTGTTTACGCAAGAACCGCCGTGAGCGGAGCTACGTCACACAACGTTCTATGTTGCTCAGACGCGCACTACTGCGCATTTTCTTCTATGCTACCGAGCCATTGCTCGAAACGCCTAACTTTTTTTGAATAGTTACTTAGGACAAAGATTATCTAATATTATCTACTATATATCACCAATGTACCATGTTTTTATTTGGACTTTGCACTCGTGAAAACAGCTAAAGTCGGGAAAAGAGCACAACCTCAACTTTGAGGCAATCCTGCATGGTCAACCAAATTTATATATGTTACACATTAGGGGTAATCTTGTTACACTGTTCGAGAAAATCTCAACTACTAGTACTAGCTACTACAGTTTCCCCGAGTGTTTTCACCGGTGATGGTTCCCAGACGCCCGTATGCTAGCTTCCGAGAATAAACACTATGTGCCTACATTCGTATGTATTGACTGCAGTGTTGCGATGTGTATAATGGGCGATGTTCATCTCGTAGCCACAAGAGTATAGTACTCCAAGAACATTACACATATAATTAGAATAATTTCCCTAACTTATTTTAACAATTATTTTAAGGCGATTGTGCATTTGAAAATTGCATTCATCCCATCCCAGTATTAATGGTTTATGTTTTATACTTTTTCTTCACGAGCACGTGTTTTTGTAGAAGATTTTTAATACAATGTGTTTAATAAAATGTATTCAATTATGTTTAATCTGTATTAATTATGTGCGTGATGCGACGTCTGTGTGAGATTTGTGCAGAATTAATCTAGTGTGTAGGAAGGTCGGAAGTTCACTTATGTGGCTGTCTGCATAATTTGATACACTAAATTATAGCGAACAACTCGAAAACATATATGTATTGCTTACCAGATTAATGTAAATACAAAAAGCTAATTTTCAACTTCAGCAGTAACATTGAGCGAATGTCATTTTTAGAACATTCAATTCACATTTTCCTCAATGATATTGATTTAGTGGAACTAATACGGCCGTTATTGTATGATATTGATTCAGTGGAACTAATACGGCCGTTATTGTATGATATTGATTCAGTGGAACTAATACGGCCGTTATTGTATGATATTGATTCAGTTGAACTAATACGGCCGTTATTGTATGATATTGATTCAGTGGAACTAATACGGCCGTTATTGTATGATATTGATTCAGTGGAACTAATACGGCCGTTATTGTATGATATTGATTCAGTGGAACTAATACGGCCGTTATTGTATGATATATAATGCAAATAGCATTGTCTGTTAATAAGAATTTGCATC